TTAATCACAACATAGCCTTAATAGTACCTTAGTATTAACTAGTAATTCATACTTTTAAGACTTGGTATTGGTGGTGTCTTGTCCATGGAGCAGATCGGTCCGTGCACCCTGATCATAATACCAACCAACAAAGGTGCCTTGTTCGTATGGATGTCCTCTTCTGGATTGATGTCTGTTATATAGAGGGCTGTAAGGTTGGCCGGGCAACTGTATATGTGGTCAGGAGGTTTTAAGACTTAAATGCATTATGTTAATTAGTATTTGCATATCAAACTCATATTTCCTACTTCTTTGTATGTAAATATACATGAATGTTTTTTTTTTTTCATTTCTAAGCTTTTGTATCGTAATTATAACTGTCGAAGGTCTGTTACACCCGACTTTATTGTCATGATAAAAAAAGAAAATTTTCCTTCACCGAATCATCTTTTATATATATTAATTTTTCACCGAAAGGATATTATAATATTAACATGTTTCTTTTTATACTTACAGATGGCTCTAATTAATATATACAGTTATCAGAGTCATAAAGCAACAATTCTTAATAATCAATTCTGTTACCGTTTGCTTTTGTGAATGGAATAAATACTCAAATATGGTCATTTCTCATAACCATCGATGGTTCAGTGGTAAAATGCTCGCCTGCCACGTAGTGGGCCCGGGTTCGATTCCCGGCCGATGCAGTTTTTTTTTTTTTTTTACAATTTTTAAAACTCATTTATATATTATACAAGAATGACATCCACGGCGCCAATTTATAATTGTAACGAATAGTATTTGAATAAAAGCATTTAATCGGGTAAACCCCGGGCGTTGCCCGGGTCATTCGGCTAGTGTAATTATATTTGAGATCTTTAAGAACGGTTAAACAAACATCAATAAAGGAACTGACTTGAAGACAATACATCGACCCTTTAAGATGAATGTCTTCCGTGATGACACTTTTCTCGCTTCTGATTGGTCCATTCGATCTATCCAATGAGAAATTAAAAATCATTACCTCGACGCTCTCCCATTGAACGTCTAATAATTGATTTCACGCCAACTGTACTCAATATTTTCTTTGAAAGATTTCAATTTGCTTTGTCTATATTCTTGTCTCTCTTTCTTAATATCGAAAAATAACTTTATATTGGATTATTAATCGATTTTTTTCTAATTTTAGACCTTCTGTAGTTTATCGAGTAGTGTCGGAAATATATCTATTGATACCAGAATTATTTCTCTTTTAGTGAATTTGGAAATATGTCTCTTATTTAATAGAACTCTAAATTTTGAAAATAGAGCAATCCATAAATATTGTAAATTTTTAATTAAAAAGGCATATATTGGATCAAAATATAATTTATTTTACCAATATTTCAGTTGGCTGAAC